GAACTTTCTAGAGGTGAACCTATGCAGGTTCATTTCTACAGATGGGCAAAACCAGAAATTTGGATCTCAAATTTCTTCCATCATCTAGACAGTCCAGGTGAGAATTACACTGACACACACATTTCAAATACTCTACCAAGTTACTCTTTTTTCCCCTGCTGGAATACTGTAATTATTTTAGAACTATGAGTTTAACACCAATTTGGAGAAAGATCTGACTATGCCAATCATGCCTAACCTATAGCAGACTGGTTTTGATGGTTCTTTTTTTTTGCATCTGTTGCATTTCTCTTTCTCTCCCTGAGAGTTCTGCACATGGATATGTGCACATGCACAAAACTGCAGCAGGTTAAGTGCTCTTAAGGCACAGAATTAATTTCCTGAAGCTTTATTGTGATAAACTGTGGTGACATTTTTCCTACTGCTAAGCTATCAATTCCCATAAAAACACACCAGTCTGTGTCCCAATAAGTATTTTTGTCAGTCTTCTGCAAATTAAATAATGCAGGAAGTGTAGCAATCCTGGATAAAAGAAATTTTGCTTGCAGTTTGCATGACCAAAGGTCATAAAACTTTTATAATTTCTTTATGTTTATAAAATTCTAATACAAGTTTTTAAACTTTTTATAAGTTTATGATATTTATTACACATTTATGATAAGTTTATAAACATATACTCTTTTATGCTTATGTACTTAGATATACTTATGCATACTATATATATACTTATATATACTTTTATATTTATAATTTTTTTATAACCTTCAAAGTTTTATTAATTTTTAAGTCTGTCACTCAGATAATTTGTTTTGCAGCTCCCATCAATAACACTTTAAAAAATTCAAGTGAGATAATAAGGAAAAAATTTTCACTATCACTTCAGACTGCTGTAAAGCAGAAATACTGTATTTCTGGGTTTTCAGGCTAGGAAATGTAATAGATACATCATACACACACACTCACTTCCAGAAGACAGAATGAGAATTTTCAAATCATCCCAAGACAGCTGTCTGTGGTCACACCTCCTCAAAGCTGCCTTGTGCACTGCATTCACTGTGAAGGTTCCTTTGCTGTGATCCAGCTTGGCTCTCAAGCTTAAGATCTTTTAAAATTGGGATGTCACCACAGCATCAGTAAAATACAGCAGACATCACACTGCATGCACACAAGAAAGCCCAAAGAGTAATTCTTTTAAACGCCACTTTTTAAAATATTTTGTCAAAACTGAAAACCCAGGTAAACAACAATTACATGGGATGAATGTTTTACAGGCACTTTGCCAAGCAAAACCTTCTGGTGTTCCTAGACAATGCACTGCCCTCAGATTATTTTCAGACTTGTTCTCATTCTTTGCTCTCTCACAAAGTAAAAATATCACATCCAGAGTTAAAATCACAGCAGACAGCTGGTACAACAGATACCTGCATACCTAAAAAAACCACCCAGAAAGAACAAAAGCAAGACGTAGAGGTTTTATGTCAGATCAATGCAATAACTAGTTATTGGTCACTAACACAACAGAATGATGGCCACAAACTTTGTTTCTTCAAAATCTTTAAATGGGCCCAAGAAGGTACCAGAATGCAAAGCCTTCCTCATATACACTGGCAAAAGTTTAACTTCATTAACATTTCAGAGGCTATATTCTCACTCAATTTCTAGGTGATTACAGATGTAAGAGGTAGCAATATTAGTGCCTCCCTCATCCTCATTATAGCTCTCTTGACTCCTGTGATTAGTACAATATCCTTTTAGTTATACATACACTGTGGCTTAGAAAGAAACAAATGACAAAGAAAAATCTGCATGATAAAAGTTTCCTAAACTTGCAGTATCTCTTGATCAAGCATGCAACACACTTGCAGGAAAGAAAAGACTAACAGCAAGGAATTAATTTAATTCAGATAATCCTAAAGTATGATCTTTTATACATTAGAAATTATCATTATTTGCTGCAAGTATAATCCTTAGATGAGACAATCCAAGTTCTTGTTCATACAGATTGGCAAGGCACCATTAATTTCAGTACAAAGCAGCAGCAGATCTGCAGGAGCACTGATTCTCTGCAGCATCATCATGATGTGATAATGGCCAGAAGAAATATTGCCTGCAGCAAATCAAGGTAGGGGGAAAAAAACACATTAATTTTAGCTTTTCTGGAAGGGGAGTTCTAATATACTTCTTGTGTGTCAAAGGATTTTATTTCATGTATTTAAACCCTAGACACTCAGAGCAGCTTTTATTAAAATTAGTCAAAAGCCTCACTCACTTAAATGGGAGCATCATCAAGACTTTAATGTGTTTGGAAGCTGTTACATCTTTATTATTGACAATTTAAGCTCATGGAACTCATTCTTAGCCTCTCTAAAGTTGCACTGATTGCATTTTCTTTCTTAAAGCTGCTCACTCCAGAGGAACCAAATAGCAACCCAGCAGCTTTTTTTAAATGTTCTCTAATTATTATTGTTGGCCATAAACGTGTTTCTGGTTTCAGTGTATAAATAGCAAACTGATTATTTACAGCACTTGCTCCTGTTGAGAACTAATATATCTGTCATAGAGGTAAAACAAATAACTAGGCTGTAATTTGTAATAATAAACCCTACACATCAGTTTCTTTGCCTAGGAAAAAAAGGTACAATTGTACAGTTTTTGCACTTCTGGCATCTTCTATAGGACTCCAGTTTCTCTTGAAGGAAAGGTTCTGTTCTCAGTAAAATGAACAAGGTTCTCAAAAAAAAAGAAAACAAAGGTATTTTAAAATAGAATAGGATATTTAATAGGATATTTAATAGGATTGTGAAGCACTGGGGTGAGCTGGGCTGTGTATTTTCAGAGCATTTCACACTGTGGGACACAGCTTTCACTTTACTGGACCTGAAGTGACATAAAATGATCAGGACATTCCTTCAGTTAATGTAAATCAGACCAGCTCAAAGATCAATGAAATGACACCTCTGCCCTCTCTTTTTGGGTCCTGCCAAGCAATCCATGTTTCTCCTGCCTTGCCCAGGATGGTGGGATGAGCTGCTGTGCTTTATGATGGACTACGCAAACTGTCACTGGGGATTAGGCAATTCCAAACATGACGTTTTCTTACCCTTTCTGCTGAAGTAGTGAGCAGAGCAAAGCATTTCTACAGTGCTCAGTGCAGCTCCTGGAGATGATTCGCAGGTCTCAGTCGTATGGCAGCAATGTCAGGCTCCAGAGGGATCTATTCTGGTAAACCCAGTGCCAGGGAGAAGAACTTCTCACTGGAGGATACATGATCAATTCCTGCAACTCATTACACACCCAGTGTCTCATTTCTAGCCAGCAGTTACCCACACAAGGCCTTCACACACAGTACTGAAATGTCATTAGGTATTCTTGGCTGATAATATTTCTCTTTCTTTGCTTTTCCTCTCCCTTTCATTTTCTCCCTGCTGAGGCCCATGGAGGTTTGGTTTAGAATGCGTTCCTCCTCCCTGGCCATCCATACACAGCATGGACAAGCAGAAAGATTACGGTGAAAAGGAAAGCACTCTGAAATGTTTATGGTAACAATTCAACAAGCAAAAGCTGCACAGTTGTGGCAATTTGGAACATTTTCTCTGTCCCCCTTCCCCCATCCATGGCATTAGATAGAAAAAGAAAATGTTTCCTGTCTTCTCACAAAAGATATTTAATTTTAGATTTAAAAACTAATCAGATAAAACAGAACTATGTCAATAGCTAGTCAAGGTCAACTCCGTGCGCTGTATTTGATCTTAGCTGTGACTTTCCTTGATGAGAGAGGCAATCAGGTGCAGCTTTCAGAATTAATCCAGCCCAGTACAAACAGGTAAATTACAGATTTCCAAGACATAGATTCTTCTTGGAATACAATGATCAGGATACAACTCTACCTGAGAAAAAAAGTGAGGCATTGTATATGAAATTTGCCACATACAAGTTGGCTTCCTGAGGGATATTTAACTGGTCATATTTGAGATGTTGTCCCAGGTCACCTGAATAGTTCAAGTAGGTGGTCTTTTTCCCAAACTTGTGGCTAAAAAAAAAAAAAAAAATTCAAAAAATCATGAAGTAGCATAAAAATTAGCATGGGAGGAATATTTATAAAGGGTTTATTTTCTAATGCTACAAAAATGCAAGTGCTGATGCAACTCAATATTAGACTGTAATTGAAGCAGTAGGAGACATGAGACATATTTCATTTCATATGATCAAACACTTATAGTGCATGCCTGACAGAATGATTTGAATAAGAACAACTAACTTCCATCTGAATGTTTTGTGATTTGCACAGATATGAAAAACATTGCTTTAGAAGGCACTGGAAACTAGGTTTCACACAGCATCAGAAAGCTCACTAAAAGAACTGTTAACCTTTGAGAGAATGTTAACCAGCCAACAGAACTACATGTTTGTATTATGTAGGCATTCCCCTCTGCAAAAAGTCAAAATAATGGGGATGTAGAAATAAACTACAGAGTAGTTAAGCAACATATATAATTTTCAAAGCATTGATAATGTATAGCCTTGACGTGCTGGGCCATCAGCTTTACCCCTTTTGAAAAGGCCTGGATAGCTTCTAGGAAACACCAGGAATACTATTTCTTTTCTACAAGCTGTAATAAATAGACTTCCAAATTTGATGCTCCATTGAGTTTTAGCCAGAATAAACAACTATACAAGCCGAGGTGCTCAAACAAGGGTCAGGGACATGTTTGCATATATGATCTGAAGTAATGTCTTATTTTTCCACAACACAAAATATCTGTAATGAAGTGTCAAGAAAAATAGTAGGTGCTGATGGTAAAAAAAAAAAAAGAAAAAAAAAAAGTGTAGTTTGCTGCAACTTTCTTAGTAAAATTGGGGGAAAACTCTGGCGTGGATGAGTTTATCCCTGGATTGTCCAATCGCATGCACACTCTCCCTCTAGCGGTACATGGAACGAACAGGCAGTTCCCTGAATTTTGCTAACAGGAATTTTGGAATTCTGTGCATGCACAGTTTCAGAGCTCTCCAGAGTGTCTCTTATCCAAAAGATCCCGAACTTCCAACATCTTTTCTAAACCGCAGTTGAGAACACAGCTCTGTAACTAATCACCTCTGGTAATAGAGGATGTGTCACAGAAGCCACAGTATGTAAAAAAAGTCATGGGCAATTAGGAATAAGTGCTGCTCCTTAAAAATGCTACATCACTACTGCCACCTAAATGTATATTATTTTCATAACAGGTTCTACTAGCTCGTGGAAATATGGTCTTCCTACAGTTATCTTGCACTTTGGAGAAAATACTCTTGGCTTAACATATTACCTTCTTGCTCGTTTCTTTTGGGACTGGAAAAAAGATCAATCAGCTTCAGGAACTTGAAAATTTTCAAGTATTTACATTTTCTTAAGTACTAACAAATGAAAGTATGCTAAAATACTTCATTCTAATAACTCTGTCATTTGTCCAGTTGTTAACAAATACATTGTCATGTAAAAGTACTGAGGTCATGTGCTAACAGGTACCAAATGTACTAACAGACCACTGAAAAATAAGTACATGCCTCTTAATAATGAAATTTATTTTATATCTATTTTTATTTGCAACACTATCTACAAATGAGTCTGGGCTATAGCTCAGCAAAGCTAGGAAACAAAGTCTAGAGGATTTTTCTCCCTTATTTTTGTGAACTGTATTCATATTGACACTTACTAGCATGATTTGCAAAGATAAGATTAGCCTAAACTCGAACAAAAAGGTACTATGAAAAAATTTTTAATTGTACAACTCTAGTAAATTAACAGTATTAATAAGTTTTAGTGTTTGATGAAAGTATAATTTCGCCAAATTCTACACGGGCCATTTCACACTTCATAAGTAACCCACACTTTTTTAACAAACCCAAACTACAATCAACCTGAAAAAAAGGGCATGGCTGGATATTAAACCATTTTAAGTAGTAAAGAGGGTTTTTCCCTAGATTCAGCTGCTTCCTGCTTTTCAGAGTTTACTCATGCTTTCAATTATTTTGTCAGTCCCAATGTACAAACAGCTTTGTTGCTGCTGGTCACAGATTTATAAAACAGAGGATGGAGTGTTACTAAATTACACTCAGAACCAGTATCCAGGTACACAGGGGTAAAAGTCGAGTAAAAACAGAAACAACCAACTGTGATGAAAACAGGGTGATCAGAAGGTCAAGATGAGGATGCATCTAAGATGACAGGCATTGGTTTGAATCATTTATGCTAGATATGAATGCTTAAGTGTATCAGGATCACTCACTTTTCAACTGCCAGTGTATTTTCCAAGACAAAAAAAACACTTAGACTAAGATCCAGGGAAAGGAAGTATTTGCAATGGGTACCTGTAAAGTCATACTTTTTAAGAATTAGTGGGCAATTATTAAAGTATGTCAAATAGTACCACTGCTGTCCACCTGTAGCTCCACTGAGGGAATTAACAGGCACACATAAAATCACTGGTGTCCCAAAAGCATCTGCTTGGAGCTGTTCCCAAGGACCTCTCAGCTAACTCTGAGAAAGAAGATCTTGCCAGAGTATTGTAATGTCATCAAAAACTTTTCTGGGTTCATTGTTGGGTTTTGTTCATTGTTTTGTTTGGGGGTTTTCCCCTAGAAGACCTAGAAAATTAGGTTTCCATACCCATCCTAAAGCAAATCAGGAATAAACAAACCAACCACAAAAATAAATCCATCTCCATTCCTGAGACATCATCAGGTACTGGACATCGTGTTCTGTCACACCTTTCCCACCACTTCTCTGTGTCCTAAATCAGTGACATTTATTTTTCTGCCAGTTAAAATAAAGATCTAGAGTTAGCTTTCTTGTTTCAAGAACAGCATACTATGGAATGATTTTTAGCTGTAATTAATTTTTAAAAAAATTTCACATGCAATTTAGTTATTGTGATCTGTCTAGAAGTTAAATTTCCCTTTTCTACTTAATTAGCTTTCTAGCACTCAGAAACTGGTTTTTGGGTGGTTGGATGGTTTCCAAAGCAAACATACCCTAAACACTGCTTTCCATTATCCTCTTGCCACCACAGAACAAGCTGCAGCCACCACGCGGGAGAAAGCAGTTCACTGGTGAATCCCTTGTCTACACTGTGTCTCCACTCCTCCCTGCTCGTGAATAAGGTAAATTAACCCCTCTGATCTATTTTCCTTAGCTTCAGGAAAAAACAGAGATCTGGACATGCACGGATGTCCTCCTGCATTATCAACAAAATAAATTTGGATACTGTCTTGGTTTGGAAAGACAGGTGTCTGCTAAGTAAGGCAGGAGCCTCCCCTCAAATGGAAAAAATGTAGAGCCCCTCCCTCTGAATTGTTATAAATTTGAAATTAAAAGGGAGCTTTCGGGGAAAAATATGGGAGCAGGAATAACAGTTCTTTATTAGGGAAGAAAACAAAAAAATAAGCAATGCAGTGAACCAAAACAACACTGACAGAGTCAGAATACAACCTGACACCCTGCTGGACAGGGTGTAGGCAGCAGTCCAATTGGAATTGTGGCTGCAGCCCTCCTGCAGTGCCAGGTGTGGTTCTGTTGGAGCAGTGATCCTGTAGGAAAGGGTGCAGTCTTCCTCTGAAGAGGCAGCTGTTCCTCTGAGAAATCCAGTGCAGAAAAAGCCGTGCTGGTGTTCCAGAAACTCAAGATTATATCCAGGTAGGAATGCTTGGCTCTTCTCTCTGGGTGGAGCATCTCACCATTGGATGCTGTAACTTTTCTCAGTCATGCAGTGACATTCAATATCCCATTAACAGCAGATGTCTCCTGGGGGGAGGATTGGTTTGGGGAAGAGATAAAGAAAACTGCCCAATTAATACAAGATAACCGCCACACACCTGTAACAGATGGCAATTGAATACATCTTGCCTCGCAATCTAGGACAGACACACAACAAAGCAAAATGGAAAATAAATCTCCCCAAACCCAACTGCACAATGCCAATATAAATTTCCATTGATTTCAAAGGAGCTGTGCTCTGCTCCAGTACTTCCCAAAACCACTTTTGATGAACTATGCAGCAGCAGTATGGTCACCTCAGTGTTCTGCTGAAAGAATCTGACTGTCATTAAAAGGTGCTTAAGAATGAAAAAGAACACAGGGGAATACTTGTACAGTTGCTTTGCACCTTATTCAAGTGAGGGTTGGATGTCACTGTTGTGCTTCGGTAGCATTTTGTGCTGCTGCAATTGACTGTGACAAATAGAGGGCAGCAAAGAATCCTTTTGAGAGGAAAGTAGAAGGAGCAATAAAATGTGCCAAAGCAGTGTGGGCAATAAAATGAAATCAGAGCAGGGCATTGGTAATTGGGTGCACCCTAGAACTGCTATGTAAGCGTGTCACACCACGCAGTGCAATGCTGCAGGAAGATCTAAGTTTTCACAGAGCTCATTCAGTGGATTAAATCTCACATTTGCACAGCTTTGAAAATGGAAAACAGCATATAAGGCTTTTTCACAGCATCTAACTTTAGATCCTCAAGGACAATCTTATTAGGCTGCATCCGGAGCAGTGATTTTCAATTTCTTTTCCTTGCAGTCCTTAACAATCTCTTACTGCAGGTGAAAAATCCTGTAAGCTGAATTCAAATACATTGTGAAAAGGTTTGCTGTTTTGAGCTACACCTTGCAGCACCCTTAGAGGTACCCGTGGAACACAGGGTACGTCTATTAAAGATTATTGCTGTGTGGTTGAGGAAAAATGGAGAAGTTGTCCCAGTGTGTCTTTTAGGACTGAAGGCATGGGCTGTGTCAGAGCCTGGATGAGCCTCCCTCTTTCCAGGGACTGCAGAAGGGCTCTGTGAAGACAGGTTTGCTCTGGCTGAAGCTGTCCATTAGAGGAGGAGGAAGCCTAGCTGTATTAATTACTGTCCTAATCATTCACTCTAATCACAATGTGCACTACACAGAAATTTAATACACATACACTGTCCCCATATAACCACCATCCTTCTCCTTTCTTGAGAATGAACAAGATGCTCATGGATTATCTCAGTGCAAATTCTTATTCATCTAATTAATACTGGCAGAGATTAGGCCTATCCTACTCTGTTTTTCTCATTTGTTTGTTCTCTTTCATCTGGCCTTACTCAGATCAGACACACAAACACTTGGATGAGCTGTGCTCTTGACTTGTCATTTTTTTGCAACACATTTTAAGCACCTCAGCTCTCTCCAAGATATGTGTAGTTAAGGTGACCTCGCTGTTTCCTCAGTGTTCTGTAAGTGACAAATTTATTTCCTTACAATTTATTTGAGAGGCATCAGGAGTAACTGAAGGGACATTTGGAGATGAGACCAGGTGGCTGCAGATGGAGGCTCCAACTTGTGTTTGTTATTTAGGCACATCTGACAATCTCATGCGTGAATCTGTGTGACAATGCCATGCACCCCAGCTAAAGAAACTCTCAAAATAAGGAATGAAAGGGATGAATGATCAGAGTGGTTCAATAGGATTGGGAAAATCAAATAAAAAGAGTTTATTCAAAAGGTCTACAAATAGCTTTGGTGCTTATTCATGGGCTTTAATTTTTTGCACAATTTGTAGATTCATGATGTAGATTGCATTATTTCAGTGTTTTCTTACAATATAAAATATAACTTTTCTTCACAAGATTATTAAATACAGTAGCTAATTTGTACTGGGTGAAATATCCCCCCCCTCAAACACTTGAACATTTATGCTGTAGTAATACAAGTAACACCCAGTCAAATTTACTTAAGAAACCTCAGTGCTCGTTAAGAGACAAGTGTCCACAATACTTAAAAAAACCCCAAATGCTTTATTTCATATGAAAGTAGACTACTTTAGTACTATTACTCTAATGTTGTTATTGCTAGTAGTGAAAAATTAGTAAATAATACTTTTTTTTAATGCCATGTTCTGATTGACACTTCATATTCAAAGTGCAATTTAAAAATGGCAAATTCCCCAAAGCAATTTTCTTCAGTGACATTTTCTGAGCTCTGCAAAACAAAACCAAAGGAAAACTGATTCCACAAACTGATTTTCATTCATCATTTAAACAAAGACAAATTTCAAAACTTAACCACAAAATAGAAATGCAAATTTCAACCAGTTCTACTAATGAATCTCTGCAGAATGCTCTATTTTATTTTATAGCTAAATTATACAATACAACCATATTCTATAGAAAGGGACCCAAAAGCTCATCTTGTTCCACCCCCTGCCATGGGCAGGGACACCTTCCAGTGTCCCAGGTTGCTCAGAGCCACATCCAGTCTGGCCTTGGACACTGCCGGGGATGGGGCAGCCACAGCTGCTCTGGGCAAAAGAAGCTGTCAGGATGGGACCCTCCTGGCTTTTTTTTTCTAAAAAAAGGGCTGCAATAACTTTATCATTTGGAAAATGTTCCTGCACTGGAATTAATTATGATAAGAGATAAAGTACAAGCCAACCTTTTAGAATTTAATAACAGCTACGGAGTTGGTGTAAATTGCTTTAAATATCTGAAAATTTTATCACTTCTTCCCTCTCTGCTGAGGAAATTGAAACAGCTGGGAGTGCTAGGAGAATGACAGAGCTGGGTACAGAGAGCAGGCATCACGACTCCCAAGTCTTTGTGTTCCTTGGTCCAGTGGTTAAAGTACAGGGAGTAAAACTAAATGGAGCATGAGGAGGCTTTTATTTAAACACAATAGCTCAAGAAATTAATAGGAAACATATTCCCATTTAGAGAAGGTGCTTTAGAGTTGAATTGATTCAGGAGCGATGCACATGAAATCTTTTCTCTTTAAAAAGATTTGTGTTCAAGCTATTGAGCTTTTAGAGCTCATGTCATAGTACTAATAACCCTTATTGGGATCCAGGGCTTTAGTGGTAAAATTAAACTGTGTTCAACACAGTGCTGTGAAACCATTTCTTAGATGAACAAGGGGGAAATAACCCAAAACTAAATCAAGCAGACATTAATCTGGCATTTAAAGCAGGTCAGACAAAGCAATGCATTTTTAAAAATACTTTATTTATGCTACTTCCTTCCCCCCTCTCCATCTCTGTTTAGTATACACAAATGATTGAGTCACACAAATTTTGCTTCCAGGCAATCTAACTCACAGCAACAAGCAGAACAATTAGAAAAAAGCCATTAAAATATTAATCTCGAGAAGGAAAGTGCCCTTCTTACAGAATCCAGCATATTGGGGCTCCAAGGGCAGAAGATGCCCCAGCCCAAAATTTTAAATTAGACTCTGAGACTGAGATGCAGTTTGTGGTAGCTAGAAGTTGCCAAAATATATGGCTAAACATCATCCCTCAAGTGGTGTGTTTAATTTGCTCTGCTAACTGTTCCCTTGAAATCACAGCAAGATTTCAAAAGCTTCTTTATTTGGGGCCTGTTATCAAGATATTCAGGCATCATGTGCCCAATGACAGTTTTTCAAACCTGTTTTTAAAAATTTATTTAATTGATGTACATATTTTTCCTTGATACATTTAATGAGTTTGAAGTAGTTTTTATAAGCTGTCTCCTTTTTCAAGCTGCCAAAGCACTAGGCAGAGATTTCAAAGTCCTAGTTCTAAAAGTCATGTTCAAGATTTAGTTTTTGTTAATATTTCCACTGAAATCATAAGACAATTTTTACCTACCTTTCCTTAGGGCCATGCTGGGATGTGCATGTCCACAAAGATATACTGTCTCCTGGGCAAATTCCATGGAATTTCAGAAAGAATTATATAAACAAGATTTTTCACACTTTTTGCAAAAAGCTGAAAACCTGCTTGCTTGGATATATGCATAGATTTACTTCTTACTAGATGGAGGGAGTCTTACTTATTTATAGCAACACCTGTTTTCAAAAATAATGTGGACCTTGATCCAAAAACACCTTTACATCCTCATATATTAAACTGTACCCAGGTGTACAGTTTTTCCTAATACACTGGTAACGGGTCACAGTTTTTATTTGTCAGGAAAAGTGCATGTCAGAAAAATGCCTACAAGTCTTCATGTTTATTTTTACATCATTTCTGAAGCGCTATGGCTTTAGTAAATACAGCTACAAAAACAAACTTTGAGTGACTATATTCACACATTGAGAGTATTTTTAGAAGTTTCCTCTGATTTAAAATAATGTTTCTGGAAAGCTAGAGCAACATATTTGAAAAATGGTAGGCAGATGAAGAAGAAAAACTTTCTGGAAGTAAACAGTTACAAAAATTCCTAGTGTCTCAGGATTCCTATAAAAGCACATTGATGAGTCCTCCTGCCATATTTATGAGGCTGACAGATTTTAATATATTCATTTTCTATTGGGAGAAACTGAGGCTTGAATAAAACAAAGTGATCATGGTTAATGTACAATAGTCAAAAATAAACAACTGGGTGTTTTGCCTCATCATTCACCATGTAAAAGGTTCTTCTGTGCTCAAGAATGATCACAGCTTTGGGTAAAAAATCAAACTAGATATATTAGGAGCAGTTCATTATGTCAACACACAAACCCCCAAGGGTATATTTTCTTCACAGCACGAAGGCAGTGTCACTTTGCAGCCCCAAACACTGGCAACATCACCTGAGAAAGAAATGTCCCATCCCCTGTCAGAAGTGCTGCCTTGGAAAGAGCAGAAGGTTTGAGGGGTACATCTCCCCCAGGCAACTGATTCTGGCAGAATCCTTACTAAACAGAGTTAATGCTGCACAATTACAAGTCAGTGTTGTGTACATGCATTTTTGCTTTTCTGTGGAACAAAGAATAATGCTGCTTTATATGCAGAAGGTTTTAGATCTCTTTTTCAAATGTCTTGGAACTTTGCAATGATTAATAGACAGAATATATCTTCACTGCAGTTTAAAGTCATGGCATATTCCACATATGTCCCCTGAACTTTCATGTTTTTACTGAAGCAATGGTAATAGCAAGTCTTTAGCAGTGGGATTGTTTTTTGCATGTAAATTCAGTCTTGAAAGTAGTATGAATGAAGAAAGACAAATTTCATATGAAGCATCTTAACAACCTCTCTCTCAGTTACCCATGTCTTCCATTGTCAACATAATACTAATTCTCTAGTCCTCCATATTAACATTTCAAAATTTTAGGATAATCTTTTAGTAAAGTAGACAAAGAAATTTTTTTAAATTTAAAATCTAGAATCTAGAGCTGTTTTTATTGATTGATTTTTGTTTGTTTTATTCCTTTCTGTTTTCCTCAGCAGTTCAATTGTTCTATTTTTTTTTTTTTCCCAGTTCCCTTTAGGAAAATCTTATTAACATTCACAAAAGAAACAATAATGTGCCACAGAAGCCATATGAAATTCTGCTGAAGAAAATGTCACGCTAGGAATAGAGTGAATAATGATGACTGGAGGTTTCAAAGGCAGACGACTGGTATGGATGAGGATTGCAAGGAGTTCAGGAAAAGAGAGGTTCCTGCTGCCAAGTAAATCTCCCCCTCAGGGTGGAAAGCTGTCATCCTGCCTCCATTAGGATTTCCCTTCCCTTCCCTTCTCTTCTGCCTAACATTGATGAACATTCAAACAATGCTCTTTAAACAACTTTGCAGGTCCAATAAATGTCAGACATTTGCATTTGTCCTGAAGACTCTGAGCTGGCTGCTGCAAGAAGGGTTTGAGTGACACCTGGGAGGTTGCTCAACACCCATTTTTCTTTTCTTCAGCCTCTGCCGTCAGATCCAAACTGCTCTAAACAGGGAGGCTGAATCATGCAATGAATTTTCCACCCGAAGGGATAGGGGGAGGGAATTGTTTTCTCCAGCTTCTTTCAAAGCTGGATGATAAATAACTCTCCTTTTTGCATCAGACCTCATCACTTCAGCAAGGAGAGCACCCAGCTTCCTGCATTGCAGGTTTCAAAGGGGGCAGTTTCTAAGCCATGTCTTGCAAAGCTTAGCCTAGAAAAAAGAGTGGATAGAGATGGGATGCTCTGTCCATGTCAGATAATCCAGATATCCACCAGGCATCTCTGGTGCTGCCTAACATCTTCTGTGGGTCTCTCCAACCTCTCCCCCCATTGAATCCTTTAATTGAACTAAGCCTTCACCTTTCCTACTCCACACACAGTGTTTCCTGGAGGTTTTGGTGATTTTTATTTTTTTTCCCCAAGCATCCTCTTGGACATGATGGAATAACTCAGCTCCAGCACTGTCTCCCCTTCCAAAATTTGGACATATATTCATCTTTGCTATGAAATCTGATCTTTTTACTCAAGTTAATTCAGAAGCAGGAAATGTAATCCTTCAAAAAGCCCAGATTGCTGAAATTGCCTCTGCTGTCTAGAATACATTATATAAGGACATCTAAACTCAGAAGGTCCTGTCTGTTTTTCAGTGTTTTTACACATACATTCTTTTTTCACAGTCTTGCTGTTATGTGGTAATTGAAAGGACAAAACAAAACCATCCAGTCATCTTTCAACATCTTAGTCCAACTGCCCAGATTACCACAGGTACTTGAGCTCTCTGATCTTTGTCTCAGTTGCATGTGGTGTCTTCTTTTTGTTGTGGTCCTCATTTTTATTTTTGCCAGTTCACAATCAGAGCCCTTTGAAAGAGGAATAGCTAAAATAGCTGAGGGTTTATTGTTAGTGCAAGTGAACCCAATGGGAAGAAATGATGATGTCTGACCCAATTCAGAAGGCTGAATTATTTCTTTATTATAACTATGCTAAAATACATTAATGTGCTATGTAAAAGGAGGATACTAAAACTACATACTACTTTCTCTGACTCTAACACAACTCATGACCCTCTCTGACAGTCCAGCCCCAGGTGGGTTGGATTGGCCATCAGGCTCAAACAATCCTCACCAGAATCCAATCAAGCACTCACCCCAGGTAAACAATTCTCCAAACATATTCCACATGGGAAAAACAAGGAGCAGAAATAGAAATTGTTTTCTCTTTCATTTCTCTCTGTGCACCTCTATGAAAATCCTGAGAGGGAGAGAAATGTGCTTGCCACAAGGGTTCTTTTGAATTCTGAAAAATTGAAAACTGAAAAACCTTTGATCCAGATTTTTTCTGACAACTCATTTCTGCTCTCCTACATAATGAGTAATTTAAAGTTCCTTTTTGTTAAACTATGGCTATCTTAGTTCAGCTGTGTTTACTGCGATCTGAATATCTTCCTTCAGTGGAAACAATGCTTGAAGGAAACTCATCAGGGCAATTTAGGCTGCCTGAAAATTTGATTCCTTAGGTTGGATCATTTGCTATTACAGGGTTCTGTTTTGTTGAGTTCTCCACACAGCCTGCGGATGTCGGGAAGTGCAGCTTCCATAAAATACACACAACTTTTCACTCATTTTGATGACTTTTTAACAGAAGGATGGTGATCTGCTCAAATATGTTTCTGTCTTTCTTTTTCCTGTTGAATTAGCTTGGGCAAATGCTGGGAACAGAGGTCTCCAGAGGCAAAGGAATTCTATAAATCCTTTTGAGAATGCTCCCCCCTCCCAGGTCCTGCCTTTCCTAAAAGCCCCATGCACACTGATGTTGGGCCTGCTTGCTGGGCAGCTACAATCCATTATTACAATCCAAATATTGACCTATTTAAACAGGATAATCCTATCTTGCTGCATTGACTTCTGATTTTACAATATTACAGCTTGAGGTTGTTTTCCATGTTGTTGTTTTTTTCTCTTTTTGTCTCATTGTCACTGACTCAATTTTACTTCAGTCTTTTCTTACAAAAAACTCAGGAAAAGAAAGATCTTTCAAAGCTTGCTGAGATCACACAGCCTGTGCTTCTAGAAGGTGGGCAGTGGTCAGGGATAGGTGAACTCCTGACCAATAAATCATGGCACAGTCATTTGTTCTGGAACTTTTAAAGTGTTAATAATTAATTAATAATATATACCAGCCATTTGGTGTTTAATTCTGCTTGTAATGGTCTACTAAGGGTCTGCCACACTGTGAACCTCTTGCTGAAATGCTGAAACTCCCTACTCATGCCAAGACAGTTTATAGCAGGGATTGTATCAGGAAGAAATGTCAGTAAGGAATTGGAAATACCTGAAGGAAGAGCCTGTGCTATCCAACTCCAAAAAAGACAAAACATTGCACTTGTAAAAAGTTAATAATACCAAATGAGATGTAGAAATAACAACCTGGATATTGTAGCTGATTATTATGATGATGTAATATTCTGTAGTAATTTTATGAATAAACTGGGTTTGTGCTTTCTTTAGAGGGGTTGCCAAAGTGTTTGCATTTTCTCTAGTATTCTTGAGGAATATCTGGAATATCATAGACTAGATATCAGTAGGGAATACTGGATATCATGATCTCATATAAAAAAAGTAGAGTGCCTTCAGAAAATGTAGTGTGCATTTCTAACTTTCTGTAAAATGCTACTTGGTATTCTCTCATGGTACTCTTTCTCTAATTGTATTCCAGGATGGGAAAATCCAATAAAATGAAAAGGTCTTCTAAATGCATACCCCAGAACTGGGTTTGGCCCTGACTTCTGTAATGTTTTGCAAGCTCAGTTTCATTTCTTAAGCACAGGAAATACTGGGATGTTGTCAGCTCACATTTCTGTCCTGATTTCCAGACTGAACTGTTTTGGATGCAGATCAAAATAATAAAAAATTTGCCATAGCAGAAAACTTCTCACAAGTATAGATTTACAGGTTTAGAGATCAGCCAATCAGGAAATAACCAATCTACCTTTCAATTCCCATTAAAAAGTCGAAAGATTACAGTACAAACATTGTAAGGGCTATAGTTTAAAAAAGATTAAGCCTTGTGTGAAAAGAGCCTATTTGTGTCTGGCAGCAATCACTTAATGCAAAGTGGCTTGGCATTTTGAGATGTGAGGCAGTTCAGACATGCACAAACAATTATTTGTTTAGGCATGATTTGACCTGCAAACATAAGATATGTAACTAATTATTTGCAGCACTATGACATTTCAATGCTGGTTACCCAGTACTCAGTGCTGCCACTTAATCAGTGAAAAGCAGCAACAAATTTCAGATCACAGAATTGTGGAATTGTTTTGGTTGGAAAGGACCTGTAAAGATCATTAAGTCCAACCCCCTAACCCAGCACTGCAAAGTCCACCACTAATGTACATCCTCAAGTGCCACATCCACACTTTTTTAACACTTCCTGGGATGGTGGCTCCACCACAGCCCTGAGCAGCCTGTGCCAATGCTCGACAACCATTTCAGTGGGGAAATTTCCCCTATTATCCAATCTAAACCTCCCCTGGTGCAACCTGAGGCTGTTTCCTCTTGCCTGTCCCTTGTTCCCTGGGAGCAGAGCCCAACCCCTTCTGTGCACACCTGCACTAGTAGGATCCTTTAAAAAAAAGAAATCAACATTTGTCTTCTTATTTTTTAATTTGCACTCAACAACTTGCCACTTTCTCTTTCTCCTCAGGTATTAGGTTCACATGAGGAATCTGTAAGTGGGTTAAATTACTGTTATTTAAGAAAACAACCTGTCCAAAGTCTCTTTGGCAGCTTTCCATGCATAGCTAGGATTTTCCTTCATCATAAACAGCAGGTTTGATACAACTTGATGAGGCTGACAGATGACAAAAACTGTTAATAACATCTACTTACTTTTAAATATTAATTACATTAATTGTAGGCTTAATTTTTAAATTTTCTTCTCAGAGTCCCTAATCTTCACCTGTACCTTGGCTGAAGGCTAACACATCATTGGAAAAAAAGTGAAACTGTGAAATGTGAATTCCTTGTATTAAGAAAATAAATGCAACACTACTTAATTAATTCCGTCCCTCTCACAAGGAAAAAGAAATAAATATTTATAAGCACCAAAATGATTTTTTAAAACATGTTTGCAATATGTGACAATTAATATTCTGTTCAGAGTTTGACTCCTTTATGACGCTTCAGTACATGTTACTTCATTAATCAGAATTTTAGCATTTGTCTAATAGATGATTTAAAAATCATCAACATCTTCCACTATGTTTCAGTTTCCTTCACTTGGTCTGTATTATAAAATCATGGAATCATTTAGTCTGGGGCATCTAAAAACTGCACAAGACATACCCTTTCCAAATCCAGAGGAGCAACTACATTGGGGAAAAGGTTAGAGGGCAGGCTGACTTGCTAAATCAGAAATATAAGTAATGGGTATTGGGAGCCATAGAGATGACAAGTGTCCCTTTGACGTTTTGTTGATAAACAAGCATTATGTAGAAATTATTTCAATTCAATCCCTCAGATTGTTGAAGCTGGACAGCCATAAGTAGCAGTGAGAGGTAGGTAAAAATAATTTTAATAGAGACATGATTTTCTGCTTCAAATAAACTTAATAGCTATTGCAGGTGACTTGTTTTTGGTTTTGGTTTTTTTTGGTCAGCCTCAAAGAAACAGAAATCTCACAGATCAAGCTACTACTTTGTAAAGATACAGGTAGAAATTTCTGGGGGAAAAGCCAAGGTTAATTACTTTTGCATGTTTTCTGTTATATTTCTTTTCCCCTCTGGATGCTTAATGGATAAATGATTGCTTTGCTCAGAGTGAGTGCCTCACCAAGATTGAATTGCTTGCATTGGCAAGAATTCAGAGAAAAACTGACATCTGGGAATGAGCAAAGGAAATCTTATCTTTTAATTAAATGAAATAAAATCAACAACAACAACAACAAAAAAATAGATGCTCTAGAGTGAGGACCTGTAGCATATTTCCCAGTGGATGAAACTACTTGCAGTCCTCTTTAGAGGAAACTGCAGATGTTTTGACACTGTGCTCTTCTCATGCAGTTCATCCTTGTCCATCTCACTCCAAAAAAGAATGTAACACTTCTTTCCTACAAACTCCCACCAGACTTCAGACACATTATTATTGCTTCTCCAGCTGAAGCCTCCACAATCTCCCCAGCCCTTGACACATTTGAAAATTTCCTGGGTTCAAAGGGCAGCCTCTTCAGGTTGGAGTGATTCTCTGTTGTTTCTTCATTTCCTCAATCAAATTATGCTCTCAGCGTTTGTTTTTTTTCTTAGAGATTCTGGGAAGCGGTCATGAACTGACTCTGACACGTGAGCAATTTAATGTCCTGATTAATTCTTGGTTGGGAACTGTTCTTCTAGCCTGCCTGCTTTTTGGAAATTTCCCAAAGGAATTTCGCTAAGTTTGCAGATTTGTATGTCTCCTATACAATGTCTCCTGGAAGAGTTTCTCTATTTGATGTCCTGAAAGATAATACTTACAATATTACAGTAATACAATATCTCATTCTGGGCTTCCCAAAAAATTTCCTTCTGGTTAGTTTTCAAAGTGCAAGATCATGGGCCTTGAACAAAACCATCCCTCACTGACTATTCTTTTAAGCCACATTTTTGCCTACTTGTTCCTCATTTTGGTGTCAGTCACCATCAGTTCAGGCATGGCATTTTCAGTCTCAACAGAGGCCTGGCCAGCCTGTCAAGGCAGATGTTTATGTTAAGGAATATGCCTGTGATGCAGGCAATTTCAAATGAAATTGAAACAGAGCTTCCTCTCTCTTGCTGAGCACTCCAAACGTTTGTGACAGCACTTGGGTATTAGAGAAGGCAGATGATTTTCTTCCATCTGTATGAATTATGAAGGCAAGGTTCTCTACATCCCACCCATTTCTGTGGGGTGGATTGCCTACTCCATGCCATAGGTGTAATGTAGAGAGCAGGTGACACACACCTTGTGTCCTGGTTGGATTTTTTGGTCCACCTGGGTCTTAGAGCCCTATGTCCTGTATCACATGGAGGCCACTAGCACATGTACTGTAAGGACACCTGGCAGAATAAGGTGCAATGAGGCTTTGGAGATTCCACCTAGCCTTAGATCGTGGCCAGGTGTGCCAGCAGGCACCTGTAACCTATAAGCTCCCCAAGCAAGGAGTTAGAGGTGGAGGAGCTGCAGCTGTGGGTGCAGTATTTAATCCCTTTGTGTGGGGTGTTCTGCTAATAGCTCTCATACGGATTCACTTGGCAGTGAGCAGCTTACCCAACCTCTCCCGGGCTGGCTTTTCCCGGTACTAATAAATGGAAGGAAATAATGAAATAAACTGAACCTTGTAAAATTAGTTAGTGCTCATATATGCTGCAAGTGTAATCCGAGGCTATAAAAACATCGCATCTTGCTGATTCTGGTGCTGAGTTGAAAAGATCTGAGGGTGTATCTTCTATCGCCGACGAGAGAAAATGAATATTGGTGTTTAAAGCGGGTATTCCAGGCTGAGAAGGTATGCCGCGTATCTCGGTTTTCTCCTAACGCTTATGAGACAAATTGCGTAATTTACTTAATATGCCTATTTTATAACTCTGCTTCTGTGCACAACATTCTTCCTGACCATTTTAACCGCGGCCGTAAATTCTGCTGTAAGCTGAAGAGAGTAAGGAGGTGTAATAACCTTGGAGGACACCCGAGGGACTCCTCGCCCTGCTCCTTTTCCATGGATTGGGGAGCTTTCGGGGCTCCCCGCGGGGCTCCAGCGCTGCCCGCATTCCCGGCCCGCTCACGCCGGCGCAGGCGGCGCGGGGGAGGACCAGGGTGGGGAAGGGGCTCGGGGAGGCGCTGAGGAGGAGCCGCCGCCACTCGCTCCGGCCCCAGCGAGCCCGGAGGCGGCAGAGGAGCCCCGGCAGCCCGGTAAGGAGGGGAGCCCTCCGGGAGGGAGAAGGGAAGGGAGAGAGAGGGAACCTTTCCTGGCTGGTTCCTGCAGGGCTGGCGCGGCGTGCCCGCACCCCCTGCGGCACGGCCGCGGCGGGGAGCGGCCGAGCCGCCCGCTGCGCCCGTACCCCACGGCGGCGGAGGAAGGGGCGGTCTGGGGCGGGGGTTCACGGGCACACGGGGGTCCGATCTCCCGCTCTGCCCCGGCCGTGCCCGGTGGCTCCTGCTGCAGAGCCCGCGGCGCTGAGCCGCCCGTCCCCGTCCGCACCCCGGTCCGGCTCGGAGCAGCGGGGCAGGCGCTGCTGCTGCCCGCCTCCCTCCCCCGGCCGGATACACGCTGTCACACCCCGGGCACCGCGAGAGGTTTGTTCATTTTATTTGGGTAGGTTTTGTTTGTGGGTTTTGTGTGTGGTTTTTTTTTTCCCCTTGCTTTTTCTCTTTTCCTCCGCCTCTTCTTTGCCGCGAGTTGCTCGCATGCTGCGGGAGGTGGGGGGGCAGCGATTTGGAAAGAGGAATTGGTGGGGAAAGCGGCAGCTGAAGGGAACAACCCGCTGGGGCACGGCGCGGGGAAGCAAAGCAAAAAACCCAAAGGCAGCCAAGAAGGGAGAAGGTGGTGTGGGGGCGAGGGAGAGGAAGAGGCGCCGCTGCAGGGGGAGGATGCCCGGAGGCGGCGGGGCCGGGCCGGCTGCAGCGGGGCCGTGCCGGGCCCCTGCCCCGGGGGTGCCCCGGGAGCACCGGGGGGTGCTCCGGCTCTTCCTTGGGTGAGCTGAGGCCGGGGTGCGACCCTGCGAATGAGGAGAGGATGTGGCGAGCGGCTGCCGCCCTGCCTCGCCGCAGGCTTGGCTGCGGGTGGGGGCAAATCGGCAGTGCGATGCTGTGCAAAATAAAGGAAGGTCTCTTCTGATTTTGGGGGAGGGTTGCCCTTTTGTTTTCCTGCTGTTAGGCCCACACGTTGATTTTTTTTTTTTTTTTGTGTGTGTGGGTTTTTTTTTTTTTTTTTTTTTTTTTAAATAGTAGTGTGGTGTTCTATAGCGATAGAGTTTTAATCATATGAAGTAAGAGTCTTACTCAGAGCCTTGGTGATATTTTCTCTCCCCTGACTGGGAAATGACTGGATATCCCTGCAACTCCCCCCCCACCCACCCACAAGGCACCACAAGCACAAATTTTGGTACAGTATATTCTTGGGAGGATATACTCGGTTCTCTGGAAACGAGAGGCATGTGACCTTGTCTTGTATTAAACAGTCCTTTACAGTATAAGGCTTATATTGTATATGTTACTCAGACCAATTTGTTTTTTCATGTTTGCCTTGGAGCCTGTTAAGGGCGTAGCTAGAGAAACAAATAACTAATGACAGACCATTATCTTGGGGGGGGGGGTAGGGGAAGCAGTAAAACTGAATGGGAGTTCACCGAGAAATATTGCGCTGTAAATTCAGTCAAAAGGCTAGTTTTGCATCTTTATTTAGATTGAGAGTTTGCTATCTCTAAAGGTCACTTTTAGGCCAGAAAAATGTGTTCTGAAATCCATGTCAGCTCTAATCCTGGTTCACTTGAATTTGTATTAAAACAAGTGTATGGTTGAACTATTAGATGATCCCAGCAACATAACAATATGCAAGGCCTTTCAGAAACTTTCAATATCAAAGCTCAGATTGTTTTGGCTTGTTAGTTTAGAGTGTAACTTTCTGTGCATGCTGGCATTCTGGGAACCTTTATCCCCACTTGTTAAGAAGCTGGTGGCTCGGAGATTTGCTGCTGGAGTTTATTTTGATTTGCATTGCTGTGTCAAAAGCATCATAGTTCCCTGCTTTGTGTAATGTTTTTGACTAGAAAAGTCCAAGTTCTGTTCATTACTGAGTTAGGGACTTGTCTTCTGTTTGAAGGAACTACATAGTTTAAGAATTGATAGTTGCTTTAGTGAAGTTGTAAAATCCCTGCTGCAGTGTTGTGCTTTAACCTCTAGATCTGTTGTGTTCTGACAACTTGTTTCTGCATAACTATAATATTTTAAAACATTTGGGGTGTTTGTCTAAGTTAAAGTCACCATAAATTTCAGTATATGGGGGGTAGGAATGCATTCGCTCAAAGGTATGTGAATTAAACATGAAGGAATAGCAGATTTAGGCCAGCCTTCTACTATATTTAGAGTATGTTTGAGGATGCATCTGATATTGTAACAAAGCTGCAAATTCTTCAGTTCTTCCAATTCAGGATTCAAGTTTAATCCCTGTCAAGGCTTGTTTAAATTGGTGGTGGGGAAATGTAGTTTTAAAACATCTTGAAGACCACGTGAGAAAAGGCTGATTAACTAGAACCCATAGCATGTCAGCTGGGAAAAAATATCTGGAGATCAACTGCTAGAAAAGTAATAGGAAATGGCCTGTTAACAGAGGCACAAAGTTTGTGGCTATGTTACAGGAAGCAGCTTTGACTGATAAGCTCCTTGTACCCTCCCCAAAGTCGGTTCAGATCTGACAAACCTGAATCTTGGGGAGGTGAGTGGCTTGGGGAAGGTGTAGGAGTGCAGGAAGGGAGAGGAACAGGGCAGAAGGATTGTGACAGGGACTGTTGGCAATTTGACCAAAGGCACAGAAAAGTGTCATTTGTCTGTGTGGTGCAGTGGAGAACATGAACAAGTGGTCATTGTCTTCAGAAATCTTCTGGATACTGATGATTTTACGTCCCGTGGCAGAGTGTAGATCCTTGTTCCAGAGTAGCAGCCTGCAGAATTAGACTGTCATTGGAAAAAATTTTCTCCCATACATTTCACATAGAAAGCTCCTAGTTCTGAAGAGTTTGTCAGGTTTTTCTGCCATAGCAAGTTATTTTGACCTATAGAAGGGAAAGACCATGTGAGCAACTCAGTGGGGTGGAGAAAACTGTGTTGATGAGTACCTGACTAATCTGGGGACTGTTGCTTATCTTACTATGTGTTTTGGTTTTGCTATGTTTGGAAGAAAATATTGGGAATAACAGCTCCAGGGGATAATATTAGCATTGTCCTATAATAATGCAGTATTTTGCATTATTACTATGAAAAAATTATAGCATTCTGTTTCCCTAAGGGTCCTTACTCCACAAAAGAGGCTTAAGAAATGGAAGTTTGAATATTATCTGGCGAGATGAAAATTATCTACATTTTTAGGAGTGGGTCATGGAAAGAGTCAGGAAAGATGTGTCTGGAAATAAGGATAATCTGAAGGATGCTGACTTCCCTGGCCCAGGCAGCTATTTCACAGGGGCAGTCCTGATTTGGGAGCTCTTCACCTGTGCCCGTGTGGAGCTGTGCTGGCACTCCTGAACCTCACTCCCTAAATGTGGGCTCAGCCTGCCTCACCTCTGGCTGCGCATTCCTGACCTCCCGCTTGGGATGGGACCATCACTCCTGGCCAAATGCTGATCTGCTCTTGCTCTTGGTTTAGAGTTGGATGGGTTCCTGGGTGTGACTCAAGGCCTGACTAAATCACGGCAAGGAACGGGCAGAGATCCGTGCTCTTGGGGGAAGAGCGCGCTGCTCCTCCTCACAGAGGGGATGCTCAGCCTCGTGAGCTTGCTTGGTGCTGTGCTGATGCTTCTGCACCATTTAATTTGGCCTATCTGGCCAGCTTGGAGAGGGAGAAGAGGTGCCTGCCTGTCTCCAGTTACTCATGTAGACATACCCTTCAAGGGTCTGATGAACTGCATCAAAGAGGAAACTTTGTGCTTCAAGAGAAGGCTACAGCAGATGCTTTTTCTTTTATTACAGCTCTTTTCCATTCTGTTTTTTAATGGTAAGCCTGTGTTTCCCATTTTTAATGCCAGATGTTTTGTCTGTTTCTTTTTTCTTATTTTCATAGTGCTTTAAGGCTTTCTTTAGCTGTCTTTGCGTGGCATGCAGCCTTAAAATTACATCAAACTGGATCTTTACGTAGTGAAATAATAATAGTAGGTATGTAATTAATGTTCTGCTGGTAATTACTAAAAACCCTTTCTCCCTCAAATCTGTGGCTACATTTGTTGTTAAAGTATGAGGCATATTGAAGGTTTGGCAAAAATACCTGTAATTCAGTTATAAGTGTGTTCTGTCCTAAGCTTATATTAGCTGTGCTTTGCAGGAGTTGCTTGACTCGGTTTCTCTTTGTGTGTACTCCTGCTTAGGGAGTTTCAAGTGGCTGGAAATCACATGGGGCTCTGTTCTTCCGCCCATGCTCACAGAAAGGTTATCTTGTTCCTCAAAAAGTGTTTGACTCCAAAGTTTCCTCCTTCCCAATTCATTTTTCTCCTTCCACAATGTAATTGTGATGCAGCTATGCCCATAAAATAAGGTTATAATAGGTTTTCCTCATACTTCAATGAATTTTTAACACTCTATACCAGTGTCCATCTTGCCTATCTGTTTTGAGTAGCAGGTGGTTGTCTTGTGGGGTTAACAGAAAAAATATAAAACTTGATGACTGATTAATGCATTAAAGAATGGCAGGACTGGTCACAAACCTGAATGTTTACAATGTAATTTCTAAAGCCATCTTTTGGGCATGCATTTGTCCAAGCCCAGACATATATTTTATTGTGTCCAAAGAGGCAATTTTACCATAAACAAATAAAAGGTTTTGATTCCAGTTTTGAATGGCTTCTGCTTACCTTGTAGCAGACTGTAGTTTTCAATACTATTCTGCAATGCTGTATAAACCTGGGACTGGCTGGATGGACAGCTTCTTTTTTTGGTTTGTTTGTTTTCCGTTTTACCTTCCTGAAAGAAATCGTAAACTTAATTTTTGGAAGGAAAGAAAAGTTCCCTAATTTAAAGTAAATAAGGGATTTATTTTGCTATAGATGGCTGAAAAAGGCCTTTTCTTATTTGAGGATTGCTGAATGTAATTACACTGTTGTGTTACAACCCTCTCTAGAATATTCCTTCAGAAACTACCTTGGCATTGTGGGTGAAATTATGAAATCTCTTATTGACTACAATTTTGTAAACAGTGGGATAAGCAA